TGTTTTGAGAAAACAGTATTTAAAACATTCGAACTTTTGCTTGAATATCTTATATTTCGAAAAACAGTATAAACTGTACGGTCTCAATTTAGTTTGCACGGTCTAAATTTAGTTTGCACGAAAGTTGTAAACAACACCATATAAGGATAGACATTCCATATTTGGAAAAACGAACGTTACGGGGCAGATATTCAAATTCATTAATCATCGATGCAGGCTCTCAATTCAGCTTGAGAGCCTGTTCGCAGGCTATCAACAACTGAGCAGGTGGAACTCCCGTAGTGGAATGTGGGGTAATACGATACTTGAGAAGAAATCTAGCCAGCTTGGTTTTTAGACTTCCTCCCTCCATTTTCGCTATTCCTTCCTTGAATACACGAACTGCCCGCTCTGCTTGACCGTTAGATGCGGGATGATACGGTGATACTTTAATATGTTTAATGCCATTCTGACTCATAAACTACTCAAATTCACCGCTTGAAAAGTTAGTCCCACTGTCACTCACGACTGTCTTGGGTAATCCATGGGTCGCAAAGATTTCTCTTAACTTTTCGATTGTAGCTGTAGAAGTAGTTGATTTCATCACGTGTATTTCCAACCACTTTGAATAGGCGTCTATTAGCACAAAGAACATTTCTCCTTTGTACGGTCCAGCATAATCTATATGAACTCGTGACCATGGCTGGCCTGGCCATTCCCAGGGATGCAGTGGTGCCTCTGCTGGTGTCTTCTGATTCTGCTGACATCTTCCACACTGCTTCACCTGTTCTTCAATTTCTTGGTCTAGTCCCGGCCACCAAACATAACTAAGAGCCAAAGATTTAGTTCTGGAAATTCCTGGATGAGCCTCGTGCAATACCGCTAACACCTGTGCTCTACCTTTCGGAGGTACAATTACTCTTGTTCCCCATAACAGGCAGCCATCTATGGAACGCCATGTGTCCAAAAATTATTTAACGTTAATTATATCATATCATGACTAAAACTGTCATTATATATAAATAATTGATAAACGAACAGACATTATATCAAATCATGACTTATTCGTTTTTGTCATAATTTGATATAATGTTATCAACATTAAGCATTATATCATATCATGAACTTTCGAAAAGTCATGATATGATATCATGACATTTCGACAAAATCATTATATCATATCATGACTTTTCGACAAAATCATTATATGATATCATAAGCATTTGTGTAAGTCCTGATTTGATATAATGCTAATGCGTTAAACTATGATATCAAATAATGACTTTTCAGTTGATTCATGATATGATATCATGTAAAGGAACTTTTTCATTATATCATATAATGAAGCAGCGCCGAAAAGTCATTATTTGATATAATGCAATAGCGTAGTGCGCCATCTGTCCAAAAATTAAAACTGTCCAAAAATCAATTAACCTTATAATAACTCAAACGTCCGGTAACTTAAAACCTCCGTTTCATGGGACAAATCTCTTCGATTACGATCAATCTTCCTCCGTTTTTCGCTTTCAGCAGCTAAGAATCCTGCTTGCAGTCGATTTTTTTAATTTAAAAATGCTTGATTATTGCGAGTGGCGACCGCGTCCACACCAAACCAATTCTCGCCGCCGTTACAAACCAGGTCTGTATGACCTACATAGTGTTTCGTATAAGTACTGAGGCATTAAGCTTTACCTTTATGAATATTTATCAATATCTTATTTTACATAAAGGCCGCAGAAAATTATACTCAGAATAGCACAGGAGCTATAAACATCCGTAGTGGCAACCATAATATAAACAGAAAACAACCAGAGCAAACAACACTGCCCTCGACATTTAGTGGGGCAAGTCGTTCGCAAAGTTTGCCGGCTATTATTATTATTAATATTAGTTTTATTATATGATTGCCACCACGGTTATTTATAGCAATAGCTCAAGGTGCTATTCTATACTATTCTGAGTATAATTCTCTGCGGCCTTTATGTAAAGTAAGATATCGATAAATATTCAAAGTAAAGCTTAATGCCTCAGTACTTATTTGAAACCGACTATGTAGGTCATACAAACCTGGTCTATAACGTTTCAACTTAAACTTGTGCTGGTCGAGCTTTATACCGGCGACGAGAATTGGTCCGGTCCTCTGGGGGCATTCCCTTTTAATGTCCAGCGGTGACCCAAAAGTCGTTTCTGAGAGGTTAAGCCTGTCGGCATCTTTTGATGTCTGCGATTTTTCTGAGGCGTAAGGGGAAAATTTACAAATTTCTGAAGAGGGTTTTGTGTCGGCACTTTGATCTTTTTTTCTTAGAAGTTAAAATCTTACTGACCTCATCCATAGAGGGGGGATGGATATTAAATGCAATGGCCCTCTGTGTGTTAATACGGACCAAACTGCTCCTTGCAAGGCTCTATAGTTATTGCGTCTTCCCAGCAACGTTCATCACTCGCCATAATCCAGCCTTTTTAAGTTAAAAAAATCGAATGCAAGCACAATTCTTAGCTGCTGAAAGCGCAAAACGGAGGAACATCGATCGTAATCGAAGAGATTTGTTTGTATAGCCTTCGGTCCATGAACTGGAGGTTTTAAGTTACCGGACGTTTGAGTTATTATAAGGTTAATTGATTTTTGGACAGTTTTAATTTTTGGACAGATGGCGCACTACGCTATTGCATTATATCAAATAATGACTTTTCGGCGCTGTTTCATTATATGATATAATGAAAAAGTTCCTTTACATGATATCATATCATGAATCAACTGAAAATTCATTATTTGATATCATAGTTTAACGCATTAGCATTATATAAAATCAGGACTTACACAAATGCTTATGATATCATATAATGATTTTGTCGAAACGTTATGATTCATATCATATAATGATTTTGTCCAAATGTCATGATATCATATCATGACTTTTCGAAAGTTCATGATATGATATAATGCTTAATGTTGATAACATTATATCAAATAATGACAAAAACGAATAAGTCATGATTTGATATAATATCTGTTCGTTTATCAATTATTTATATATAATGACAGTTTTAGTCATGATATGATATAATTAACGTTAAATAATTTTTGGACACATGGCGTTCCATAGCCATCTTCCACACTTATTTCTGTTCTCCGATTGAAATAAGGTTGTAATTCTTTGCTAGGACAGGTAATGTTCGGCCAATTTCCAAGGGCACACTGATGAACCTTGGAAAGTACTGGATCTCGTCTTGTCCAATCACGAATTTGGCCAGAATGCAAAGGAATTGCTTCCAGAAGTTCCATGAGCTTTATAGTGTCTCCGGGTATGGGCGTTTCCTCCAGCATTTCTGGGAGTGGTAATCGACTTAATGCATCAGCATTCCCGTTCATTGTTCCTGCTTTATACTGTACATGTATGTCATATTCATACGCAGCAAGCGTTAGTGCCCATCGTTGAACTCTGGGTGATGCCTGTGCTGAGATCCCCTTCTTCTCTCCAAATAGACCTTCGAGTGGCTTGTGGTCAGTTCGAATGGTAAATCTCTTGCCATATAAAAACTGATGGAATTTTTTCACCCCAACGATCATCGCCAGTGCCTCCTTGTCAATGGTTGAATAGTTCCGCTCAGCTGGGTTGAGTGAACGTGAAACATATCCTATAGGACGCTCAGTTCCATCGGGCATTTCGTGCGACAACACAGCTCCTATTCCGTAATTTGAAGCATCGCTGGTCAAAACAAGCTTCAGATCGGGGTTGAAGTGTATCAGTAGATCGGCAGATTGCAACAGTTCCTTGGCCTTCTCGAAAGCTTTCTGCTGCTCTTGATTCCATTTCCACTTTTGCCCTTTCCTAAGCAACTCATGCAGTGGTTTTAAGATGGTCGCCACATTCGGTAGGAATCAATGATAATAATTCATCATTCCAAGGAATGCACGAAGTTGGGTCACATCCCTGGGTGCAGGTGCGTTTTTTATGGCGTCGACCTTTGCTGCTACAGGATATACACCCTCTCCATTGATGCCATAACCACAATAGATCACCTCTGGTTGCATAAAACAACATTTCTCTTGCCTCAGGCGCAGACCAGCTTCCAAAAGCCTTGACAAAACCGAACTCAGATTGTCCAAATGAGCTGTATCATCTTCACCGCTGACCAATATATCGTCCATTCTCACGACGACATGTGGGATGCCTTGCAATAAATTCTCTATTGCTCGTTGGAAGATGCCAGGAGACGATGAAACTCCAAACGGTAACCGGTTATACTGGAACAACCCCTTATGCGTGTTGATTGTAGTATATTTCTTGGAATCTTCATCTAATTTCAATTGTTGATATGCTTGCGACATATCTAGCTTCGTAAATTTCTTTCCACCACCCAGGGTAGCTAACAAATCCTCCGTCTTAGGAATCAGATAATTGTCCAGTTTTGACACTTGGTTTACAGTACATTTACAGTCACCACAAATTCTGACATCTCCATTAGTTTTCATCACTGGTACAATTGGTGCAGCCCACTCGGAAAATTCCACTGGGGAGATTATCCCCTCTTTTTCCAATCTTTCAAGTTCGTCCTCGACCCTTTTCTTGAGTGCATACGGGACCGGACGTGCCTTGAAATATCGTGGTGTTGCTTTTTCATCGACGTAAATTTTCGCTTCCATGCCCTGTAGAGCCCCAATTCGTCTTGGAAAACTTCTTTATTTGCTTCTAGCACTCGCTGTAGGCCATGGTTCTCAACTTGTTGCTTAGCTTCGACCTTGAATATCTCACTCCAGTTAATTCGGATCACTCTAAGCCAATCACGACCAAATAAATTCGGTCCGTCACCCCGTATAACTAAAGCTGGCAGATTTGCTTCCTGATCTCCATACTTTATAGGCACAGACACAATTCCAGCCACTGGAATTTGTTCTCCTGTGTACGTGCTTAAAAGCGCAGACGTCTTCATTAACGGTCCCAATTTCTCACGCAACTCCGAATATGTCCGATAATTCAAGATTGTCTTGGAGGCCCCAGTGTCAAGTTCCATTGTTTGTGTTGTAACCACACAGATCAATGTCAATTGTAATTGCCTTATTTTTGTCTCCGGTTACATGATACATTGTATAGGCCCCCTCCTCTTCCTTCACAAAATAATTCGCCGACTTCTGTTCTCTCCTCTCATCCTTTCTGAATGGTTTCTTTTCTTGATCTTTTCTTGCGATTTCTACATTTCTTCGCCGTGTGGCCTTTCTTTTAGCAGCTATAACATTTCGCATCCTTAAATTTGCAAGTAGAAGGCTCGTGGTCTCCCCCGCAACGGTAGCATTCTTGATTTTTCTTGCCAAATAATGCTTGTTTCCCATGCGTGACTTTGTCAACATGCTCTGTTGATCTCGCCGAATTTGCATGATTTGTTTTTGCCATATGCAAATCACCCACACTTCTCGAAGCACTTTCCATCTAAAAGCACTTTTCATCTAAATTTAAAACGTTCAACAATCTCGCTTGGCTTTGGGTTATAATGTTTCTTTAACTCTTCGCCAATTACTTTGATATCAGTATCAGCTGGTTCCTTGCGCTGTAATATGTCTCGTAACAATCCGTACGTCTTGCTGCCACAGACACTCAGAAGGATAGCTCTTTGTTTCTTCTCGTCTGTTATCTCGTTGGCCAAGAAATACTGCTCTAACCTCTCGACATACTGAATCCATGATTCTTCGCTTTCTTTAAATTCTCCTACAATGCCATACAGCGCCATCTCCCACGACGTGACTTCGCTATCCTCGTCGCCAATGTAATAACTTGCTGGTTTGATTAAAACTTTATTAACTATACATGAATATTTAAATAAATTATAACAGTGTCTCACTCGATTGAACTAATATTGGATAATTTTGTAGGTGGTATCACCTTGATATATATATATATATATATATATATATATATATATATATATATATATATATATATATATATATATATATATATATATATATATATAAATTACACTCGAAATTTTATCTACAAACTCCTTCAACATTCGTTCAATCGAGTGAGATGCCCAAAAATCCTGACGATGGTGTATAACGCCAGACAGTACAATACTTTCAATTTTATGTAACTGTACGGCGGTTTTCGCAGTAAACTTGTCATTGATTAGATATACTCCTCATTGCCATTGGGAAATAAAGTCATGCTCCAAGTAGGGCAACCAAGACAACGAGGTTTCATATACACTGTGTTAAAAAAACATAGCAATTGTCTGCTAACAAATAACTTTGATGCTATTCCATGCATGATACGTTTTTTTTTTGTAAAATAGCCACAGCCTTAAATTGTCCGAGTACGGTCTTGGGTCCAGACGCGAATCTAGGGGTTGTCAAGAAGTCGCGCGACGAATAAATTGCGCAAATAATCATCCATAAAATTGTGCAGTGCCCCAGTTGTAATTCTTCATGTAATTAACATTCATAAATAGTCCAGTTATCAAGTTTCATGCAGCGGCCAATCCTTCGGTAAAATAAGGTAAAATAGTGGTTATCTGCTGAATCTATATGACTTGCCTGAGACGGATTCGAGCCATTTGATGCGTCGATTTACCTCATCTTCGTGGGAGACCTGCCTTATTTGTGTAATGTTTTGAAGAAATTATCTTCTCACATCGGCTCATATTCTTTTGCCTCACGTGACTCATTCGCAGCGTGGGTATTAAGCAGATCGGTATTAACCCATTAAGCACATGCAGCAATGCGCCCTACTTTATTCTTTTACTCTGTCTAACGCCAAACGATTTTACTCGTCTAATGGGTAAACCTACACGACTTTTCGAAGTGAATTTATTGTAAAATATGTACGTGTTGTGCGTCTGCTTGCACAGATGCATGCTGTTGGTGATGATCAATTAGGATCGGACTTTGTTTTGTTTTATATTTTCAAAACTCTCGGGTGGTTTATTTTTATTTATTGTATTTATTCATATATATTCAGTATGTACGCATATTTCCACACAGTCAAAAGAAGTAACCGAAGTAGTAAACTAAACTATCACCGAAGATTTATTGAGATATTTATATAAGCTGAATACTATTGCCTCATTGGCACTGGTGTAAATATTACAGCAGTTGTATGGTATAGCTTTGACAGCGCGATCTGATGCAACACGATCTGTAAACAGTATATTGCTAATATAGTCTTTCATGTATATAATTATTCACTTTAAAAAGTTTTATCTATGGACATACAGTAGGTGCATGCAAGTGATGCAACAAAATTATATTTTTAAAATGTTTATTATATTCATTTTGAAATCAATGGTGTTTCCTGAAATCAGATTGGTTCACAGGAGTCCGATTTCAGCACGAATCGCACTCCCAGCACCTTCTTTCAACCAATCACATTAGAGTGCTGACTTCAGCCAACCAATCATATTTAAACATAGGATTCAAACAGCCAATCAATTTTACGAAAAATGTGATATGGCTAGTGAGCAAAAACAAAAAATTTACATATGTAATGATTACTCTTGACTGCCTAAACAATTTTTTGCACATAGAAACAAAAACAATATGGATAGCTACAGTTAACTATCAAAGAATTGCAAAGAATTTTCAATTTTTTTGAAATTTCACAAATAGTAACAGGCAAATTAAGAACATAATCTTCTATCAAACATGGTCAAAATGCCAACAAAAGCAAATTGAAAGCGTCAGTCTATCGTATTTCCAATTTTAAACACACAAAACTGCGCCAAACTCTATCAAATCAATCGTAAAACCTACAATATGTTTAAACTCACTTGTGTTGTCCCTTAGTCTTTATGAATGTCTTCATTTCTGTAGCATTTTTGCAGTATTTTGAACGTATTAATAACATGCAATTTAACAAAACTAAGTTCATCTTGTTCGTTTACTGTTGCTATGCTACAGCACTCTGGGAGGTACCCTTTTGCAAACAAAAACGTTTCCGCGGTTTACAAAAATGTTAAAGACCATGTCAAGTCCATTCTGCGCATCAGTTCTGGTCATAACAAAGGGGGACCCGCACATAGAAACATTGGCCAAATTTTGCATCTTTCGAACTTTTTTGAATTGAAGCGTACTCTAGTTTATATTCATTTACAATAGCGAACCAGAAAAGTGTCAGATATTCAATTATAGTATGTCTTATTTACAAATATAGCAGTTTAAAATGTAAGCAAAGGATTTGTTTACATTACGGACTTGACATGGTCTTTAAAGATTTCAAAATGAATATAATGACGTGGAAATCTAACTTCGTGTCGTGCAATTTTGAACTGAAATAAACTTGTGATTACAAATCGCACTCCCGCTTCGCGGTCGTGCGATTTTGCAATCACGTGTTTGATTTCAGTCCAAATTGCACTCCACTCAGTTCAATTACCATTGTATATTTTATTTGGTCATTTGATTACCTGTACATACTGAAGTGTCTCCGAAAGTGCGTGTGCAGAAACGACATTGAGGTAGCTAAACCCTATAGTGCCATATCTAATAACGCTTAAAATTGTGTTTAGTATAGTTCCGATCTTCGCTTCAACCAATCATATATTTCAGCCAAAGAAAATGAATATATTATTTCATATTTAAATTTAGTTGTTATTATTTTATTTAGTACATGACTGTATATCTAGCAGCAAATATTATATTTAGTAGCATAAACTAATAATAGGGAGGGAAAAGTAAGTTGACTTGGCAGATGAACAGTATTGACAATCACAAGCAAACAGTATTTCTCTTACGAATAAGGGGATTTTTTTAATCTCTAACGTCAGCACACGCCAGGAAAATGTCTATATACTTTACTTCTGACAAACTTTACTAAAGTAGTGAACAGGTGGGCTCAAACCAGAAAATGTTCACCCCTCCGCTATCAAATGAGCCGGTATATGCCCCTTGGAGAATTTTAAGGTTCCTACTTACGCAACCCCATGAGGAGCTTCAGCAACAACATGTGCTTCAACAATGATCGTGTCATTGACTAAAAATCCATTTTCGGTATTGAGAATTTCCTAAACAGAAAATTAATATTGACATATGGCTTTATATTACTGTATATACCATTGTACTTTCTAGCTACAAATTCAATGTAATGGAAATAAAAAAAACACCATATATTGTAGCATTGACCTATGAAGCAAAACTTGTATCTTTACATGTTATCTAAGGATTACTATTATTTTATGCCATAACGTACATTCCAGTTTTTGAATATGCTGAAACCCCAGTCACTCTCTTTCGCAAAAAATCGATGTTTAATCTCTAAACAAGAATGCAATATACAAAATCAGCCACATAAATTATCAACAAAATAAGCTTCATAGCAACAGATAGTAGTGCAGAAGAGGTCAAGCATTATTCTCCACCCTGGTGCTTAACGAAACCTACCTTGTCGTCTTATATTTGATAACGATTGGCTCGTATACAGGGAATATTAATTAACAATTATTGGATGAGGTTTTTGTGATATGCGGAATTATCAAGGTCGAGGTAAGCGTTATCAGCCGAGCCGAAGGCGAGGCTGATAACGCTTACCGAGACCTTGATAATTTTGCATATCGCAAAAACCGAATTCAATAAT